AAATGCATATAAGTCGAAGTTTATGTGTTCCTTTTATCCTAAGAGGGTAAAAGTGATATATGGGCCTCTCGATGATTTGGTTTTACTTGTGTGATGGGCCCGGTCAGGACTAAATTGATGTGTTCAATTAAGTTCTATGTCAGACAAATCTAAGATAGAGAAACAAATTGTTGGACGATAAGTATGACTATGTTCCATGTAATTTGTCCACACGATATCTTGAGAATGGAGGACTATACGATCCCTTATCAAAAGGACAGGTTACTGATAAGATCAGAGTTCGACAGCGTATTTGAGAGCTACGATTGCTAATCGGATCCTGAAGTCGTACTTGCATTTGTAGTTACTAGACTTATCCAAGTGGCAGAATGTTGGATTAGTGTCTAAGCCCATAACTATATTTGGTATGTACTTGACCTGGTTGTGCATGGTCCTTTTAGGTTGCCTTCACCAAAGCAACGAGAAGGATGATTTATGGAGAGAAAGAGAGGTTATTATGGTTTATTAATATATTATATGAATAATATATTAAAAGAGAAATCATATAGTTTAATTAATATTGGTCAATAATTAATTAAGAATTAATTTTGTGGCTAAAAGAGATTAATTAAATAAAGGGGACTGAAACTGTCAATTATAAGATAATGGAGTTTGGGTTGTGATTCCTTATGGATATAAGGGGGGGTGAAATTTAGAGTTAAAGCCCACTCTAATTTCATTCAATGAGCCGTATTCCAGAAGGTTCTTGAAGCTGCTTAGGGCCTAAGTTATCCAATTAGGATTTTGACTAAAACCCTAGTAGCTCAGCTATTTAAGGGACACCAGAGCTACAGATTTCGGCTACCCCAAGAAACCCTAGAGTTACTATAGCCAAAATTATGCCTCTCTCCTTCTCTCTTCTAAATTATCTTCTTGCCTTGGTGTTTGTAAACCATTAGAGGTATTACACTTGCGATACTAAGCTCTTGAAGATTGAAGATTCTTGCAACTATTGAAAGGTATCATCTAAACTTGTTTTATTATAGATCTTGTTTTCATAGTATGTTAGATTAGGGTTTGCAAGCTTTGGATAAATTTGCATGTACGATAGAGAAGCCTAGATCCAAAACTTTAGGCTTTTGCATGTGCACATAGGATGTTCTTTTGCTTAAAACCCATCATCAATTTCACAAATTGTTTACAATCATAGTTTTCAAAACATGTTCAACATCAGAGTCTCCCAAAATCATAAGTCAAAAACATGATAATGTGTACGGTCATGGCTTCGCCTTCCATCGATCATTTGAAGTACCTGAAACATAACCCAAAATTGTAAGTCAATGCTTAGTGAGATTAGGGGTGGCAATCCTCGACCCAACCCGTAACTCGACACTGACCCAACACGAAAATAAACAGGTTTGGGTTGAGATTTTTGTCCCGTCAACCCTTTTATTTCATGGGTTGGGTTGGGTTACCTATTTGGGTTCGCAGGTCAACCCGCCAACCCGATTATATATAATGTTAAAAAATACTTTTAATTATTTATTAGTTTTGAATATTTGATTATCGTTTAATCGTTTTCCGAATTCCAAAACTAAAAAACATCTTCGAGTCGACTTAGTGTCTCCTAGCCCCAAATCAAAAAGATATTCAGTCTTCAGTCTCCAAACTCACGACTCCGTGTCTCCTGTCTCCATCAATTGAGGCATTTAGTCATCGACTGTCACAGTGTCACACGTACACCACCCGTCTTCTCGTCCTCCAGCTGTCTCACACCACTCGTTGTCGTCACTTCTGTTTATGACTTTATGTTGAATATTTAAGACTTTATGACTTCATTTTATTTGTATTTTTCAATTTTATTTTAATATGTGTTGCTTATTAAATGGGTTATACGGGTTGGGTTTGACCCGCTGACCCACTAACCCACGAACCCATATACTTATATGGGTTATTTGGGTTGGGTTTGGTTGATGTTTTCAACCCGCCAACCCACCAATCAATATATTATATGGGTTGGGTTGGGTCAATGTATTTTGACCCACCAACCCGTGACCCGCTAACCCGAACCCAACCCAATTTCCAGGCCTAAGTGAGATCCCCCAAACTACAAACATGTAACATAAGCATAATACATACATCATGTATACAGAGCCTTCAGCATGACTTGTACGCCCCACCAGGATACAGTCTATCTGGTACGCTCATAAAACCTTCAGCATAACCGGTACGCCTCACCGGGCCTTCAACCTATCCGGAATGTTCTCCGAGCATTCGGCCTGACTGGTACGCCTCTCAGGCTTGCAGTCCATCTGGGACGCCCTGGGTCTCTTAGCCTTCAGTCTACACTTGTCCGCCTCAACTCAACCATACATAAACCATGTCGACATATTAGCTTTATAGCTAATATGATATGTGTTATGTGGATTATGTGTGGGGTATGCTCTGGGGAGCTCACTAAGCATTAGCTTACAATTTATTGATTTGTTTCGGGTACATCTAAGCCTAAGGGCAAGGGCAATGCTTGATGGTGCGGCGTGCACTCTCCGACATTTGTTTTGATGGGACACTCTGATGTTTAGAATAAAATGTTAATGATATGATTTTTTAAAACAATGATTAATGTTACTCCACATTTTATGGAAATGTTTGGGTATTAAAAATGAAATTTTATTTTGAAAATTTTGGGTCGTTACAAGTTGGTATCAGAGCATTGGTTTAAGGGATTCAGGCACACTTTCGGGTGTGTCGAGACTCAAACTAAGGAAATGGTAAAATTGTTTTCAAAAATAAAAATAAAAGTTAAAACTTTTAAAGAATAAAAAATAGGAGAGTGCAACGCGCGTAATCGGCCGACCCAAGTAAGTAGTTCCCCAATATGTTAGCCATGTTATGTTGATATTTGAGCTATGATAATTGTATGGATCTTGCTATGTGTATGCTTCTAAAATTGTATAAGGTTAGGAGCTTATAGCCTTAGAATGATTAATCTGGCCTTAATTTCCTATTCCTCATATGGTTGTTGTTCTAGGGTAGAGTATATTATTCGAAAGTCTATTTAATCCTTTTCGGTGTATAATTTGCATGCATAGGGCAGTCTGTTATGATTGGTATGATTGGTGTGTGTAGAGCAAATCTGAGGGTTGCCTAGGATTTGAGATATGTGGTAGTCTGTGGGATATGACTTATTTTGGGAAGAATTCGAGTTATCAGGTAGAGCATTGGGGAAGATACAGGTAGGTGTAGAAGGTAGTATTGGGCCCCTACTACTGAAAGCAGAGGACTTGTACCCAAACTAACATTAGACCTGGAAACTCTAAGGAGGACCGATGTGGGAGGGTTCCCTCTATTGACATCCTGATCATTATGTTTTTTGGTATTGCAGTACAGTATGGTGGTAACACAGTTCGGGGCAGGGGGATCAAGATCAGGATCAGGATCTGGAGTTGGGTCGAGTGACACTATCGAGCCCATTAACGAGAGGTTGCGTGAGCTCATCGCATCCAAGGTACTAGGGGTATCCTTGACGCCACCCCAGTTATCTTAGGGATGGTCAAGGAGGGAATGGTGGAGATTATGGAGGAGAGGCTCAGAGCATTCAGAGTCGAGATTGTTGCGGGATAGGTCGGGGCCCAAACTCCCTCGTTCCGGGAGTTCAAGGCATGTGAGGCGCCGGAGTTTTTTGGAGTCAGGGACCCCATTTTCAGCCGACACTGGGTGGCGGATATAGAGAACACCCAGCGCACGAGTTCTTGCCCGGATGCAGTAAAGTTGGGTTTTGCTTCATGTATGCTGAGAGACAAAGCCCGAGACTGGTAGGGAGAGGTGACTAGTCAGGTGGGAGCAACCGGTGTGGCTGAGATGACATGGGCCAAGTATATTCGGCAATTTGATCTGGAGTTTGCACCACATATTGACGTGCAACGGCTAGTGAGGGAGTTTCATGACCTACAGCAGACCACCGAGACTGTGGCGGAGATCACCATCAAGTTTCAGGAGCGAGCATTGTTGATCCTACAGTATGCTATCGATGATGACATAAGGAGGACGATGTATCATTCCATGTTGAGGGATGATATCCGGGAGTTTGTGAGTTTCACAGGGTGCGAAACCCTGAATGAGATGCTGGAGAAGGCCCGTGAACGGGAGATGGAATTGGACTTCCGCACCAAGTGGAAGCCGGAGCAGGTTCAAGTGGCTAGGGGTCAGGCTAAAAAGCCTAAGACCTCTGACTCTTCGGGTAGGGGCCAGTAGGGTCATGGCCGAGGTGCCAAGTGCAGGAAACTACACAGTGGGGGTTGCCGGGGATCGGACCCGGTATGCTATACATATGGCCAGCCAAGCCACACGAGCAGGGATTGCCCCAAGAAGGGCTTGATATGTTTCCATTGCAACCAGGTTGGCCATAAAAAGGTCGATTGCCCGAGTTTCCAAAAAGGAGGAGGAGCAGTGGTGGCGCCTGTGCCCGCCACCATGAGGATTACTGACGGCCGCCCTATTAAGGCGGAGACTCCAGCGGTGAAGACCCGTGCATTCTAGTTGACTACCGAGTAGACTCGGGCAGAGCCAGACGTTGTGGTTGGTACGTATTTTATCTTCCACCTCTAGATTTTATTGTATTGCTTATGTACATATTGTGCCTATGTATAGGGACCTTTTTGGTCAATGGTACCTCTGCTCACGTTTTGTTCAATTCGGGAGCTACCCGATCGTTTGTATCTCTTGCGCTCAGCAAGAAGTTTCGGAATGCACCGAGAACTTTGGATTCCCCGCTTGAGGTGGAGGATTTATATGTTTTTCTACCATTAGTACTATATATAACTATTACTTGCTTAAGTTTTAAATTTATTTATATATTTATTTATTTATTATTATTATAAACGAAAATCATTAAAAAAAAAAATTTGTTTTTATATATATATATATATATATATATATATATATATATATATATATATATTTATACGTAAAAAAATTATAAATGTAATAAATACAAAAATAAAAAATTATATTATTATTATTGCCGTTTATCATAATCACCTACATCATTATTATTGCCGTTTGTAAAATATTATTCTAGTTTGTAACAATTTATAACAAAGTAGCAAAGAAAGAACCAATGCATGGTCACATAAAAAAAGATATTTCTTATAATCTGTTAACAATTAGATGAAACAACAAAAAAAAAGACTGGAAATCAAACATGGTAAAAAGACCAATTTAGACATCCACCACTCTATGGAGACATCCACCTCCAAGATACAGCTGAAGTTTGTCTCTGAACAGACTCAGATTTCTGCGACCGAAGTGCTTCAACTTTCTGCTCTACGGACTCCATTGATGACATCAACACTTGTAGCTCTGATATTTGTGCCTGAAATACCAAACTCAAATTTATTTAAAAATTTTGTAAATCTTTAATCGAAAAAAAAAAAACGATGGAGAGAACGAGGACCTCCAGATTAGCACATCTAGATTTCTCAGCAGCCAGTTGACCTTGAACAGAATGCAACTCCTTTGACAAGTCAACATGAGTTTCGTTGACTTCATCAAGCTTTGACTTTAGGGTTGACTTTTCTGCTTTGACCCACGCAATAGATGATTCCAACACCTTTTTTTCCTCTTTGATAACACCAATTTCAACCGAAAGATCAACTTTACTTTTTGAATTATCGACAGCTGTCAAATCTTCAGATTTAGCTAAAGCATATGCAGCTGTTACAGAAGCTGCTGCAGCTGCAGCTGCTGATGACTTAAAGATTTTTGGGTGTTTTAAATCCTTCGGTTTTGGCTTCATTGCAAAAACCTAATAAGGATATAAAAGCCAACAGATTATATAAAGATAAATATTTTGAATAAAAACTATATGTTTACAAACAATACCTCATTGTTATATTTCCCGTTATATCCACCAAAAGCAATCAAAAACTGTTGGCCATCTACCAATGCTGATGATATGGTGAGCCCCTGTTTCATTTATTTACAAATAAATATTAATTTTTTTGGAAAGGGGTATTTTGGTAAAAACTTAATGACCTCACTAGCAAGGGGATCTTTCTTTTCTACAGTTGTCAAGATGGACAAGACAAGTGTAGACATATCAAGGACCAATGTCTCTAAAGCACCTGTAACCAACCAAAAGTGATATTATTGTTAATCACATTCTATTTATTTATTTAATTTATTTAATATATATTTAATATGTACCAGTTTTATTATCTCCACCACCAACAATGAACCACTTCTCATCAATAGAGATTCCAGCATGGCCTGCCCTAGGAGACACAATGTTACCTTGAATCTGTGGTTGTGACCATTCTAACTGCAGTAAAAAGACAAATATATTTAAAGAAAAAAATATATATTTTTATCTTATGATAAAAAGCATAAAGAAAGGTTAATAATTAATAATTACTGTTTCTAAATCAAGCACGTGCAGATCGCTGAAGAAAGTTGAATGAGAACAACCACCAAATATTTGAAGGTATCGATCTCCATGCACAGTAGCTGTATGATCAAATCTTGGAGCTGGAGGAGTCAACCTATCAAATCAAAACATATTAAAGCATTTTAAAAGATTGAAACTTGAAGCACACAACAATAAAAAAGAAAAAGGAATAATAATAATAATATAATACTTACGTAGTCTCAGCAACATTCCAAATCATTGTTTCAAGATCAAGGACATTAACATCATTCAAAAGTCGTCTGTGTTTGTCCTCTCCCCCAAACATTATAAGTTTTGAACCAATCAATGACACAGATTGCCCACCTCGAGCTACCTAAAAGATACAATCACAACCAAAACAATGATCATATTGACCAATTTAACCTCATTGAATTTCATAAAGTTGAAAAAAGGTTAAGGGGTTACCGGAATTTTTCCTTTGGCTTCCATTATTCCACTCACATGTGACTCAAGATCAATGAAACGCACTACAAGTAACTTAATAAATCATTAGATTCTACAGAGAATACATAAACCATGTGCTTGTGAGAACAAACCTATCACATTATCAGAGGTATCCTTTGAGTGGCCACCAATGAGGAGGAGTTTGTTTCCCCACTTGACCTATGTTAAGAGTTGTAATGTATGTAGATCATGGTTAGATGACAGTTGTAATGTAGAGAAGGTTCTAGATGAATCTGGAAGAAAAGCTCACCATACTATGACCAGATGTAGATGGGAAGACTTCTGATAATCTGTCATCTTTGATACTATCAGACCCTGATTGAGTTCTTAATTTAATAGTGGACCAAATTAAGTTTCTTAGATCAAGAGCCTACAACCATAAGCACCCATTGTTAAACCCACAATGGAAACATGGTTAACGTTGATAAGCAGAATTGTATTGGCGATTTTGGCATGATGATGGTTGATACCTGAACATCAGATAAGTATCGCCCATTACGACTTCCACCAACAATGTAGAGCTTTTCATTGATGACAGCTGCAGCATGCTACAATACAAGAGGGAGGTGATGTATAAAAGTATGAAGACAAAAGTAATTTGATAAGAAAGAGGATGAAGATTTGGATGTAATACTATTGAGTGATATAATTACAAACCTTATAACGTGCAGATGGCCGTGGTCCAGCTACTGGAAGGGCAACCCATTGATCATAGTCCAGATCTGAATGCCAATTGCAATTGTCTGATCCCATACTAGCTCTTCCATAGATCAACAAGCATTATCAGCTAGGTGAGGTGAGGTGAGGTGAGGTTTTATAGTTCTTTGTAACTATTTAGTGCAACAAAGAAACATTTCAAGAAAAAGTTGCAACTGTTTGCGCAATATGTATTCATGTAACATTGCATTGAAAAGTTCACGAAGGTAGAAAAAAATCTCAAGTTACATTCGCATCCTGGTAATTAGCTTCAAAATCCCCATGATAGAATCATTGCAATGGAGTTGAAGGGGGGAAAATGATACTCTAGGCTGCAAAATTATAGATGCATTTTGACTTTTGAGATCAAACAATGTATATTGTGAATCCAAAATTCGAAAGGACTTGTTACTTTGAACAATAAACCTTCTTATAGGCAGGCGATCTACTGGAGTCATTTTACTATCTTAGTTAAAATTCCTTGCATTTAACCCTTTCAAGCCACATTTGAGTTTAAATTGTAGATTCGATCTCAGCCAGTACTATCTCATCAACCAAACGAAAAGATCAATAGTTTAACCCAATTAAATACCATCACTGCATTAACTAATCAATCAGATCATCGCAACCTATGATTCAAACAGTTTAACTACATAAACGTAATTAACAGCTAAAAACTTGAAAACATCCAAAAACTGAAAACTAAGGCAGCATATACCTAAATCGTCGTAGAGTTTCTTCGGGACTTCCGATTGAAATCGAATTGCTTACGAGTAAAGGAAAATGAAAGTCGTGAATCAAGAGATCGATCCCGATGCAGCTTAATCAAACTGTACGTTTCGTCGACAAGAGAAAAAGCAGAGGTGAAACGTCGTCGTCGTCGTTTGTTTATTGGGAACTGTGGCGTAATCGGAGTTCAAGGTAGATGAGTATGTGTATTTGACCCACCTGTTATCAGCGGTTTAAAAGGGTTGCAACCTGCAACCAACCCACAAGACGTGTCGGACATGTGGCACGAGTCCTGTAAAACCTGACCACACCAGGGAAAGGCCGAAGGGGGAGGAAACGGTTTGTTCACTTTGGAGTTTTGGACTTTGATATCTCTTCTTATTTCATTGAGACCAAATGCAAAAAATGGTGGTGATATTTTATTTTATTTTTTAAGGAAAAAGTTCAAAACCACTAAAGTTTTTGATAAGCGGTCATTTTAAGCTAATTTTCCTATGTATTTTGTTCTTGAGTAAATTACATGAATGGTTTCTATGGTTTGGGGTAATTTGTGTTATTGGTTTCTAACTTATTTTTTTAACTCGGAAGGTTTATGTTGTTTGTTTTTGTTACGCGCTTGGTCCCTACTGTTTATTTTTGTTACGTGTTTGGTCCCTATCTTAGCTAAAAATACTATTATTTAAATAGGAAAAAATGTTAGGGTAGGTAAGGGAAGGTGAATGAGTGGGGTTAGGGTTGTGTTTATTTAAATAAATTTAAAAAATCAAGGGCAAAATAATCTTTTTAGGTAAGACAGGGACCAAGCGTGTAACAAAAACAAACAATATGGACCTTTCGAATTAAAAAAATAAGTTAGGGACTAAACACGCAAATTACACTAAACCATAGGGACCATTCGTGTAATTTACTCTTTGTTCTTTTAATGAATATAATATTTTATGATGTATTTATTTTCTATTTTTTTCATTTGTTTAGCATTTAATATTTATTTGTTTATTTTAATAATCTCTCTCTCTCTCTCTCTCTCTCTCTCTCTCTCTCTCTCTCTCTCTCTCTCTCTCTCTCTCTCTCTCTCTCTCTCTCTCTCTCTCTCCCCCCCTCCCCTTTACCCTTTAAGCATAAATCATTACCTACCTACAACACCAATAACCTGCAACTAAAAACACACATTAAAATTACACGCGTCGATCCATATGTTTACTAAAACCACTCACCCCTAAATGAACACTGTGACATCCATATTTTTACGGCCAGAAAAGACCGATTTTGTTTATGCTTTATAAAAATCAGAGTACCTCTTTTAATAAAAATGTTGCGGAATTTGTTCCCAGTAAAACATGATAAATACGTTATCAAAGCATTTTCGAAGAAAAGTATTTTTATTCATTTTAAAACATTTGGGATGTCATCGTTAATACAGAAACATAAGCATAAACAGAACTTATATTCATTATCACTAGTGATTTATATCTCCTTAATCTCTCAGTGTAATGTGACTTCATATCAACACCTGTGATACAAATAAACTGAGTGGGTCACGTTGGGAAACCTGGTGAGTACATAGGGTTTTCAACCCACAATAGACAAGTTTATTAACTTTATCAAACCAAACAAACCCGATTAACCGTTCCCGTTATCCTCACTTTACGTCCCTAAAACATCTAACATAAGGTACCTAGTCTAAGAGACTTTCATCAGGGTGACAACACATGCTTCGGGGATTCCTCAGCAATTCATGTCAAATCAGACAACCATGTGGGGGATGGAGTACTGCTGGTGAGCACACAGTTCAAATAAACACCTACAGGTTACGAGCCTACTAGCGTTCCAATAGACTGTCTAGAATAGTCTATGGTCGTCATCTATACTTCGCTAGATGACTGGATCATCAATAACATCTATATCGAGGCCTCTCATTATTTTATTTGGTCACACAGCAACTATTACATCTACCCATGTTTTACCCAACATGTTTTGTAGATATAAAATACATATACAATTTAAATCATTTAAAACGTGTATAAAAATATTTCACCTAGCATAAACAGCAAGTATTCATACAATATGCACACATAGCACGTAATTTATATTAAATACTTCATATCTATGTGTAAGATGAAAGGGACCATGCACTCACTTGAAAAGGTGGTGAGCGCTTCGCTTCTTAAAAATAATTTCCTTCGACGAAACCTAGTATTATTACCACTAGAGTTTAGTATATTATTCGCCGAGACTAATTAATAGTCTAGCTATTATTACTATTATATAAGCGTATATAACACATAATAAGAGCCTAAGTACTTATTATAAGTTCATAATAACATGATTATAATTAAATCAACGATATATTAAAAATAGTGTAGGCATAGCGCGGGTTTTATAGAAAACCGGGATTTGGTTGGAGCAGCGTTCTTAAGCCAAAAAGCTCTTCTTCTCGGAGCCGTCGAGCACTCCGGGGCTTCCGCCTCGTGCTAGGGAGGTTGTCTAGGCTTTCGTAGGTTTGTGGGGCTAGAGAGAGGTTCTAGAAAGAGAGTAAAGAGAAGAAATAATGAAAAATGTGTGAAGAAAATGAGGGTGGGAGAGGTTCTATTTATAGGGTGAAAAATGGTTGAAGTTGGTGTCACATGTCACCATCTAGTGGCAAGACTTGGGGAAAAAACAATGGTCAAGATTGTGTCACATCATCCATTTTCGCACAGCACACTTCCGACTTCTAAAATCCGTACCTTTCACATACGAGCTCCGTTTTTCACGCTCGTTATATCCACACGTAGCTAAAAATAATATCTACAACTGCTATTTTGACTCCATCGACTAATTCTCGATCGATCTTAAATTTAATAGTACGAGAAGATTATACTATTAAATATTCACGTAAAATTCATAACTTCTACATACAGACTCTGTTTTCTTCTGTCTTTTTACCGTTGAGTTCCTATTAATGAGATATTCAATTCTCACTTAGGTCACATAGGCCAAAAACTGCTCAATCTAAAATTCGAGTTTCAGGTTGTGCACTGCTAAGCCAAATCTTAGAAAATTCATAACTTCCTCATACGAAGTCAGATTTGGACGTTCTTTTTTTATATGTTCTCGGTTTAACGTATACTACAACTTTTCTTTAGATTTATACGGCTAAAAAGTCTTCCGTCATAAATCCACTATTTACGTCTCCCGGTGTCGTACCGTTTTTGCCGTAAAACTTCGACAGACCATAACTTCTTCGTTATAACTCGGATTTCAACGTTCTTTATATGTACGAAACCCTTGAGACGTATTCTACAACTTAGTTAAGATTATTTATTCTAAATAATATTTTTTCTGAAATTCGTTTTCGATCCCTATTATCTCTAAATTGACTAGCCTGGATCTGCGGGCGTTACAAACACTAACTAATTTAAAAAATTATACTTAGGGTTCCAAAAGTTTACCTTCAATTTCTGTCCAAATCATCAAAAAATCAGAAATGTGAATGCTTGACAACCACAATCAGGACCTCCAACCATAGTTGTCATTGGCCTCCACCGCAATAATCATCAGACCACCAGAAGCAGCGATATTGCAGCTACCGTCGTCGATTCGTAACAGAAACAACAACAACAAGGTCATTTCTTACTTGCATCACCTCCTTTTGTGTTGCCTTCACCATAGCAACTTGACCGAATGAATTATTGAGAAAGAGGTTAATCATGATTTATTAATATATTATACAAAAGAGATTAAATAAATTAAGGGGAGTGATATTGTAATTATAAGATAATTGCAAAGTTGGGCTTGTGGATCCCTAAAGAATGGATAGACGAATTCTATGGAGAAGCCCACATATAAATCGTCCATATGGGCTTTCTAGAGGGATCATGTGGACTGGTTAAGCCCTAAGGAATTAGATTAGGGTTTTGACTTAAACCCTAACAGCTCAACTATATAAGGACCCCATGGCACACCAGAAATCAGCCACTTGAAACCCTAGAAGGATCATTATCCGATTTTGTGCCTCTCCCCTCTCTCTCATCATTCTCCATTGCTTGTGGTGTTTGTGATCTATTAGAGGTATCGCAATTGAGGTACTAAGGTCTTGAAAGTCAAAGATCAAGCAAGCTACAATTGAAAGGTAATCTTCTAACTTTGTTTTAGATATAAATTTCAATTTATGCGTTCTAGATTAGGGTTTATAGCTTTGGATGATTATTGCATGTATAATTAAGGAAAACCTAGATCCAAAGCTTTGGGGCTGCATGTGCATCATAGGATTGATGTAATGCTCAAAACCCAATAGTGGTATCAGAGCCTAGGTCGTTTTTCTATTGTATTTAGTGCAAAAGTTAAGTTTTCAAAGTTGAAAAAAAAAACTGATTTTGGTTTTGCACCAGGTTCACGACGTGACAATAGCGTATCACAATGTGAAGTCGCATCTGCTAGAAAATTTTCGAACTTTTTGCTAAAATTGGATTTGGATAATTACCAAAATGTGCTTTTCCAATTAAAATTCGTTTTTATCTGTTATGGTAATGTGTATCTTAATCTAATTGAAAGATAATGGTCAAATTATAAGATAATTACTAGTTTATATGATAAAGTTAATTATTTGTATTTTTTTATATGAATTATCTTGCCATAAATTGAATTAGGTCAAATTTAGATAATGAGAAATTATTGGATTAACTAAATTATTTTAAATTTGATCTAAAAGTTTTTGAAATAGTTTTAAAACTTATCCTTAAGTTTTGGAATTTATATTCCGATTAAAAAAATTTAATTTTGGCATATTTAAATTCTAAACCCTAGAGTTTTAATAGTTTAAAATTCAACCCTTATACTATTATAATATTAAAGGATTAATAATTATATATATGTATAAGACGAGTCAGTCTTACCGTTAGTAGGTCTCATTCACGAAACCGATCTATAAGGGGGTATAAGGAAAGTGCCTATAAAATGGCGGTTAAATAGGTGTCCACTCTCACTCATCACTTCCTTGATTGGTGGAGGGTCATTAGTCGAACGGGTAGGATAGGTCAAAACTAATTCCTCATTAATAAGTATAATGAACTATAAAGTAACTAAATGTTGTTAGAAAATTCCCAATCTTAGTTACTTTAGGAAAAATGTGAAAATGATGATATTCCATGAAATTGCACTTTGCACATTGCCAAGTCGTTAATGGAGCGTGCGTGGCTAACCGACATACTAATTTGGGACTAGCAAGGGTGGAAAAGGGTAGCTTGATGTTTATCATAGATCAATGGAGCGTGTGTGGTTAACCGGCACATAGATTAGGTGATAAATGATATCGAGACTAACAAACACATTTGCATGGTTATTCACACCTTGTTTGTGATCCTCGGTATCTTAGTCACTTTGAAGGGCATAATCGAGATTTAAACATACCATTAAAAAGTTCATTGAATCTCAAAAGAATCTAGGAATTTCAATTCATTTAAAACTTAATATATATTTTCGCTTTTCATGGTGGAAATTGGTAAATCGTCATTACCTACCTTCAAATTATTTGTAATTAGATTACAACATCCCTTTTTCTAAATTATCAATAATTGTGTTGGGTCTTAGCCCTAATTTTTCACTTGGGTGTTAAATTGGGGATTCTTATGTAATCTAAACTTTGTCTCTTTTCTTTTTCAGATGTCGACTTTAAACAACGCTGCTAACTCCTACCCTTCTGGCTCTTTCTCCCTCATGAACTTATTTGGGAGGGTGATCTTTGATGGATCCAATTTTAACGATTGGATTCGCAACATTCACATGGTCACCTGCTACAAGGACAAGGAGTATGTTCTCGATAAGGAGCTAAAGGAGATTGACCATAACACTGCTACTCCTGAGAAAATCGCTCGATATGACGCTCATGAGAGGGACACGACAAAGGTATCGTGTATCATGCTTACGATTATGACTGTCAAACTCCATAAGTCCTACGAGGACTACTGTCCTTATGAGATGCACCAATATTAGATAGAAAGGCACCATCAAAGTGTGAGGCGGGAAACGCACGATATCATCGATGAAGAGTTGGCCAGAGATATTATTCTATACTCTTTGTCTCCTTGTTATGATCAGTTTCGTATGACCTATCATATGAACAAGGAGGAGGTCACTCTAAGCAAGCTCCAAGGCCTTCTACGAACTGTTGAGAGTAGTTTGAAAGGCAAATATGTTGCATCTACTCATGTTGTTGTTTCCCCTGTCTTGGCAATTGGACAAGGTAAAGGGAAGAAGAGGAAGACTCCTTCTAAGAGTCACAAGGGAAAGTCACATGATGGATCCTCTTCTAGTGGAACCAAAGGTGGTCATGCTGCTCTCTCTCTCTTCCAATCCGAAGGATGCAGAGTGCTTCTACTGTCACGAAAAAGGACATTGGAAACGAAGTTGCCCAAAGTATCTGCAAGACATCAAGGATGGGAAGATAAAGCCCACCTTCATAGGTATTTATACTCTTCAATCTAATAACTCATCACATGCTATTTTTTGGGTCCTTGATACATAATGTGGTTTTCACATTTTTCTGATTTTCAGGGTCTAAGAAGAAGTATGGATGTGGAGCATGGTAGATGAACTTAATCATGGGGAATAGGAAAGCATCACATGTCACCAAGATTGGAGTTTATTCTTTTGTGCTTAGTAGTGGGTTAGGTTTAGAGTTGAATAGTTATTGCTACTCGTCAGAAATGACACGAAACATTATTTCTTTTCATGGTTTGTATAAAAAAGGTTTTAGATTTTCATTTAATAATGAAACTGATTCTATTAATGTTTTCTTGAATGGTACTTTCTACTTTGAAGCATTGCCTTGTAATTGTATATATGAAACTATGATGGTTGTAGACAACTTAGGAAATAATGTGTTACATATTGATTCGTCCAATGGTTTGGACAAAGCATGCTTGTAGCATTTTCGTCTTGGACATATCAACAAGAAGTGCATAACCCAACTCCAAAAGGATGGATTCTTGGAGTCATTGACCTTAGGTCCGATGACACGTGTGAATATTGTTTGCTTGGAAAGATAATCAAGTCACCCTTCACCGGTACTTGTGAAAGGGGTGAGGGTTTATTGGATCTCATACATACGGATGTATGTGGGCCTTTTATATCCACCACAAGGGATGCGAACCGCTTCTATGTGACTTTTACCGATGATTATAGTGTTGGGTTTTGAGCAATCTAACACTTCCTAAGTGTGCATGCAACCCTAATAAACCTTGGATCTATGTTTGTCTAAATACATGCAAAATAATAATTTTTCCAAGGTTTGTAACCTATCTAACATGGCATGGGGAACATTTCAACATAAAGAGTTAGAAGAGATTACATACCTTTTTGATGAGTTTGGTTCTTGAGGAGTTTGAGGGCTAAGCACCAATAGTGTGAATGCCTCAAATGGAATCACAAATCACCACAAACTCTTGGAAAACTTTGAGAGAGTGTATACACACTTATAAAATCGGTCACACACAAACACACATACTCTAGTTACACTAGTTTCACTAGTTACCCTTAGGCACCATTTCATGCTCCATAAGCATGCTTATATAGTGTGCATGGTTAGGGTGAAACCCTAATAACCCATGACCTTTCCTTTCCAAGGATCCATGGGTTAAAAGCTCCATGGATCACCCATGGACTTCCATATAAGCCTAGCCCATTAACAAAAGAGCATTAGCCCACACTATATAAAACCAATAGCCCATAATCTAATTAGTCTTCCTTTTAATCTCTAAATTAATTCATAATTAATTTAAGACTAAAACTAATTAAATAACATAATCTAATATTAATATATTATAACTTATAATATATTAATAAACATATGTGTATAACTCTCATAAAATTATCCATAAATAGTTTGGATGAGATGCAACCCAAATGGACCATGCCGGGTCGGGTCAAGTATATACCAAATAAGTTATGGACTTAGACACCTTATCCAACAGACTCCCACTTGGATAAGTCTAATAACTATATTTGCGTATGTTACTTCAGGAACCAACCAGCAATCGTAGCTCTCGAAAACTCCGTTGAACTATGAAGACTCTGTTGAACTATGAAGCGCCATTTTAGATAAGTGATCATATAATCCTCTGTCCTCATGATATCAGCCGGACAAATACATGGAACAACGTCGTACTTATTGTCCAGCAGTTTGTTTCCCGATTTTCGATTTGTTTGACAAAGAACTTAATCGAACACATCAATTTAGTTCTGACCGGCCGGTACATAGGTCACAACAAAATCATCGAGGGGCCCAGATATCGCTTCTATTTCTAGAAGGAACAGATAAACTTCGACTCATATGCTTGTTCTACTACTTGTTGAATTGTACACAAAGGCACGTTTTATAACATCAAGTTACTGATGCGTTTACGTGCAATCAATGCACAACCAACTCATAGGTAACAACTCATATCTCTAGGTTTGAAGATTTATATGATATTACCGTCTCACGATCACTCGAGATAAATTCCATGAAGTGATACAAGTGAGCGTGGGTTTATTCCAATACTCATAACTTATGAGCACTCATGAATGTTGTAGCAACCATTGCTATGACTAAACCCATTTAGCCATCTACAAACCCGATTCATGACAGTCTT